CTAGATGTGCAAATTATATCTCTTTCAAATGCTGAAGGTGCTCTAGAAGGCACTTTGCATTGAAGACCATCAGGAATTGTTCCCAAGTGACTGGAACAGGCAGGGTGGCCTATTTGAGCTGCCACTAGTGACCTGCCTCTCCCACAAGCATGTAGGTGGCAAATACCACCTTATGTTCAGGAACTACTCTAAGAGTCGCGAAAACCTTCTCTGTCTCAACTAACCAATACTTGGCCTTTTCGAAAGAGGATGCTCCTGCAAAGGTAGATGGATTTAGTCTTTTATATCTTTCAATGTAGCTTAGATCCATCATGGGTGGAACTGAGTCCCACTTAAGAGGGATTAGACTGTGTTGGGAAGGAGCCGAGTGGCCCTGTGCTGACAACGAGTTGTATGGTGAGGGCACTGGGTTGTACTGTGGTAGTGTTGGATGATACAGTGGATGCAAGGGTGGCTCAAATTGTGACAGTTGAGGAGAGTCAGACAGCTCCCTTCTTTCCTCCTAGGCTTCCTAGGCAAAGGTGAGTCTCTCCAGTATCTCAAAGAGTTGATCAACATCATCTCAAAATGACCCTGCCTGAGCTACTCGATTTACTGGGGGCATTCATCTCCTTATATCCATGTGCCTGCATTTCACAAGAAATGTTAAGGGACAGTTTCTATTTGGTGTTATTAAGTCTTGATGTAAGGAACGGTTCCGAGGAACGCGACTCTGATACCAACTGTAAAGACCTGAAACTAAAAGAAAAGGATTTATCATCTAAATACAGAAGTGAACAATAAATTTAGGGCTTACATTCCTTACACAATAAATTGGAATGCTCAATAGGGTTACAGGAATTTCCTTCTATATTGGTTCATAAAAAAGGACAAACGATAATTAAAAATAAATAAATAGATATCCTAGGGGATTAACTTCTTCAAGCATTTGAAGGGAGTCCGGGAGGTGAACTAATCAAAACTCTCTAGCTGATCGGATCTGGATCTTTGTCTTTTTATCTGAAATGGTTAATAAAATGGTGAGATACACTAGCTCAGTAAGATATCATACTAATCACTTATACGAAAACTAAAGATTGTAAAATCACAAAATAAGTATAGAGCCATTGATTTAAGTAAATACATTTGACTTTAAAATATTTTATTTCGTACTTACCGTTACAAGTTTTCTCAAAATCAATCTATGAAGATAAATAACCAAATGACATTTTAATTTCTTATATAAGATCAATAATTCTTTTTTTTTTACTTACTAGAACCCCTGGGGGTCTATAGGAATATCTCCCTACTCGTGAACCTAGTATCTAGATTGGATAATTAACCCAGCCGTCCTCATACCCTGTCCAGTAATGGGTGCCAAAAATATCATTGCCTCGATACCCCTTCCGGTATGAGGGTGAACCATATCTCACAAATTCTTTCGATATGAGACTTCTCACTCCCGTCCGACTGAGGTAATGTCCATGGTAGGATTCCCTATGTACTAGGTCCATCCACCCTTTCCCATGGTACCCAGTAAGCTTTCATATATATATATATTCTCATCAACCAAACAACTACCAATCGCATACCAACATCTCATTATGTATTTACAGATTTATTTAAAAGGCATCTAAGCAAGCAATACAGTTTAACATAACTGAATAACCAAATAACTAAATAAACAGTATAGGAGAAACCAAATAAACCAAATAACCAAAAACACAATTCAAATAGCAATTTAATGCACACAATGCGATAGTAAATATTTTAAATAATACAGGAGAAAATAAGCAGGTAAACTAGGGCAATCACCCACTGACTAGTTCCGGTTCCAATAGTGACCTGTAATTATTATTAAGATTTTTTTAATTTTCACAAAATACGAGATAATTAATTATTACGTCTCAATTTACCATAACAGAGAATAGAGTGAGAGATCCTCATCCGAATTGGTGTTTCGAAATGTTGTGCTACCCATCACACCTCCTGGCAGACTCTGGATTTTTTTAATTGTTTCTACGAAAATTAAAATACTCGTCACATACTCAAAAATACCCCAAAAACTAAAAATCAGTGCTAAAAATCTTTTCTAGTAAATTTTAAAGTTTCGGCACAGTGGCAACACTGTGCTCCGGTGCCAACTTCACCGCCCATGGCGACATTTTACCTTGGCCTGGTCGATTTTTGTTGGTTTTATATGTATCCCTACAAAAATACATTAAGAAGTCTTGGTTAGCCTGAAAAATAAAAAAACCAAACCTACAGACGGGGGGGTCTCCAGGTGTGGCAGTTTTGCCAATTCTTCTTTGTGGTTGGAGTTTCTTGTATGACTAACCTACACATAAAGGGACAGTGAACACAATGGCCAAAGAATCGTGTGAAACAGAAAACAAAAAGGGGGTCATCGAAGAGAGTTTAAGGTTTTGGCCGCAGCAGCTCCGCCGATCTTTGCCCACAGTTTTTGGCTCACTTGTTATCCTTTTTTCTCCAATATGGCACAGGGAGGCTCGAAATCGAATTTCGAGCAGGAAGGAAAAATTTTTACCTCTTTTAGCAGTCGACAATGGCTCTGGTGCGGCGGCAGCCGATGGTCGGCAGCGGTGGCCGGTCTACTTCTCTGGCGTCTAATTCTTCTTATTCGGCAAGGGCATGACGGATAGGGTTAGGGTTCTCTGGAACAGGATACTTAATTTTTCATCCCGTGTCGATCTAGTCGTTCGTTCGGGGAGACGTAGCCCACTCTCGTTCGTTGAATCTATCATATTCGGAGAATAAATCTGGACCGCATGATCAGATTGAATTTGACCATTCGATCGCGCCTAAAAAGTGAATGCATCTGGACCGTTCACACGCACAAGATGAGATTTGGGCCGTCAGATCGCTGGGCACGCAGATCGCTCGCGTGGTGCCGATGTCAGCGGGGTTGCCATGTGGCATGCTCTGGTTCATTGGAGTCGCTGCTAGGGCGTCCCATGCGACCGACTTTTTTTTGTGTTTAGTATCTGTTTCAATTTTTTGAAAAACACAATAAATCAAATTTTACTCATTTTTTTAAAATTATTTCAATTTCGTCATAATTATTTTTCTCTAAAATTCAATAAAATTAAAATAAAAATAAAATTAATTAATTATTTATACAATTTTTTTATAAAAAAAAAAGAAAAAAAAATCATCTCATACTGATTTTCAGGACCCGGATATTACAATACATGTACTTCAAACTTTACAAAGTCTCAACTAAACTTTAAAAGCTTCCTAAGTCCTACCAAACAAAGTTCTATGTTTGAGTTTTGAGTTTTTTTTTAGAATCTAATATGAATCAAATAATTTAACATTTAATTAAGATCTTCTTTAACTGATAAAATTAGATAGTTTAAAGTAAAAATTCCAACAACAATAAAAATTATGGTTAGCAAAAGAACTATTATTTGACTTAATTCTCGATAAGTACTAGCTTGAACGAAGATTGTAAATAACTACCAACTTATTAAATAAATTACCCAATATTAATTTTTAGTAAAATCAAACTTTTTTTCTCTAAGCAAATAAATTATAGTTAAAATTATACTATCTAAAGTAGCGTTAAGTAAATATATCTTTTAAGAATTTAAACAATTATTGAATCTTTTATCCTACCATAATTATTTCAATTTTTTAAAAAATTTAACCGTTATAAAATATTTTTTTCCGCTCAAATATGTTTTGATTCGCTAGAAATAATAAGTTCTATATCCAAGTAAATATTGATATAATTTTTAGTTGTGTGTTTAAAAATATATGCATATTGAATGGAGAGAATATAGATGACCACAATCAACTAATAATTAAAGTAATAATATATAATGTTAAAAAATTAAAAATATTTTCATATTTACATAGAAATTTATACTGAAATTTTTTTAATTCAGAAAAATTTTTGTTTATCAAACAGAAGAATGATGTTATATATATATATATGTTAAGCTCCTGAAAATGAGGAAGTTTTCATTAAATTCTTTTAAATAAAATAAGAGAGGAAAGGGGATAAATAAGAAGCAAATGTATTATTTTTATTTTTTTATTTAAGTTCTTATGTTTTTTTTTTTGTTCATTCAAGTTCTTATACCTTTAAAATATGTTAAAATAAGACCCGGCTATTAAGTATTATTTAGTTTTATTTAGTTTTTGTTAAGAAAGTGACATATACAATTGACGTGGTATTTAAATGAAAAATAAGTAAATTTATTTTTAACAATGACATTTTCATATATTCTATATTATATAAAAATACTTTTATTTTTTTTTCTTATTCTTTTTTCTTTGCATGGTTATCATATAATATATATATATATTTTTTTAACATTAAGTACATCAAGAAGTTTATATATAGAATTTATAAAGAAAGACAAACCGAAATAAAAAGATAATATTATAGTAATTTGAATTGATCTTCAAGTTCATTTGACTATGGTAGACATACAAGTTGCTTTAAGAAGAAGCATTGCACTATTTTTGATTGAAATTTTCTATTAGTAGATATATTTGAGCTCATAAAATTAGTAAAAAAGAAAACGAGTGATATATATATATTAAGATTATAGTTGATGTTGCATTGAATATTTCTTTAATGATAAATGTAGTAGTGCGTGTTTCTTTTTACATATTTCGATTTCAATTATGATTCTAAATCGAAATGACAAGAGAGAAGAAGATTGCAATGATGATCTAAAGTTCACACTTAAATTTTGCCAATCACAAATTACTTTTTTAATTTAATCTTTTAAAAATGTAAGTTAAAAATATAGTTTTAGTTACAAAAACTAAAAATTAAATAATAGAAAAATGAAAAACATGTCTTTTTCATGACAAACTAGAAAATTTGACATCTAAGTAAGTAAAAATTTAATGGGTACAAAGACAAAAAGAAATGGAAGTTAAGAAATTTATTTCAACATATTTTAAGAATACAAAAGTTTAAATAGAAAAAAAAATAATATAAATAATTAAATAGAGAAATGAGAATAGCAGAAATGCTTATTTTCTATTTTTCTCAGGAAAGAGAAGACTTGGAGAAGAAACAGAGAGAAATGGGAGAAGTGGGGAAGGCGATGGGATTGTTAATAAGCGGGTCGTTGGTGTACTACCACTGCGCCTTCCGCAACGCCAGTATTCTATCTCTCTTCTCCGACGTTATAATCGTTCTCCTCTGCTCTCTCGCCATTCTCGGTCTTCTTTTCCGTCAACTCAACATCTCGTATGCTTCTTCTTCCCTTTCTCTTTCTTAGGGTTTCCTTTTTTTTTTTTTTTTGTTTCTCAGTAATGATTCGTAGTTTTGTTGTTTTTAAAGTGTTCCTGTGGATCCACTCGAGTGGCAGATCTCTCAAGACACTGCTAATGGTATTGTTGCATGGTTAGCTAATACCATTGGGGCAACCGAGTCTGTTCTCAGAGTCGCCGCAACTGGTCATGACAAGAGGCTCTTCTTTAAGGTGTTACTTGTGTTTTGGTTTCTGAATTTCTGAATTCAAACCTTTTAACTGGAAGTTTTTAGATAATCGTTTTTACACAATTTAGATAGCCCTGGTAATGATCCAGCAATAATGTTCTAAACGAAAAGGTTATGAGAGACACTTTAGTTTGTGAGGTTGCTCTTGCTTTAGGAATGTGGGTTATATAGTATTGTTGGCATGTTCTGACTCTGAAAAAATCTGAAGACCTCTGTTGGGTGATAACTTGTGTATTCTGAAAAAAAAAAAAAAGCTTCTTTCAGGTGGTCCTTCAATGGTTAACGTCTGCTAAATCTTTGTTTTATCTCTCCCATTTCTCATGTCTTTTCCTCTCCTGTAGATCCCTCATCCACTAAATTGATGAAATTTGAACATAACCTGTCTCGAAAGAAAATAAATATTGCTATATTGGGTTCACACAGACTAATTTACATAGGATTGCGGATTTTGCTCTGTCAGTTTCTCTTGATCATGTAAAACACTTGCATATCAAATCCTTACCACAAGTTATACGCCCATTGTCTAGCTGATAAATTGTTTTTTGTTTTAAGAGAAAATTAGTGTAGTTATGTTTTATGTTTTTGGGTCATGACATCAGTGGTTTTGAATATTGGTTTTGACATGGACCAATTAATTGGGATGTAAATGTGTTGTACATGGACGGTACCCCTTTGGTACTGATGAATATACTACACTTCTATTTCAAAAAAAAATTATTGTAGTTGTATTAATAGGACACCAAGGGGATATCACCCAATTACAAAAGCTTTACAATTTAATCAAAATATTTATAATCTCACCCAAATCTTCATCAGAATTAAAAGACGACTCTTCAACAAAAATCTGATGATCTAGAACCAAACCAAAAACTAAGCCCTCAAAAGCCCACAAAATAACTCACATGGTAGCCAAGGGATAAGAAAAATGCGTTTTTGTTTCCTTGGCTTATAAATCTAGATGCCATACCATGTCGAGATCTCTTTTCTTGAGGAACTTGCCATTACACAACTCAAACCAAGGAACTCAAGGGGAAATCACTTTGGGCTGTGCCAAACAAAGAAGGCAATCTTAGGTGAAGCATTAAGCAATCTTATGTGGTAGATGCATATAGAAATATGTCAATGTGAATGCACCAGCACACCTAACTTCCACATTGGTTTACCGTTTCCATCTTGATAGACATTGTAGCTAGAAAGGTGTTTAAGAACACTCATACATTCATTAATCTCCTAGTCATTCAAATTGCTTAGAAGATCCACAACCCATGCCTTGGGTAGAAGAATAAGAGAATAACTCACTTACAATTTCTTCTTTTGTTTTAGTTAGAGAGAACTCATTGGGAAACTGTCAGTTTAAAATCCCTACGTCACCTCAATCATCAAACCGAAGACTCATCTTATACCTCAAGGTGACCCTCATCCTAATGCAGTCATAGGACTCATCCTAGTTGAATTAATATTGATCCAAAGGTTCGAGGGATGTGGAGCTCTAGTTTGTTTGGCTCTCCAACCCCTATTATCAAACTTGACTTTGATTTCCTTCACTTTTTGCTACCTTTAGCATTCAATTCACTTCCAAAGCTACTTCCCAAGTGAAGTTTGTTAAAGCAAATAAGAGATCTTATGTCCAGGCCTCCCTTGTTGACAAGGAGCTCAACGGTATTCAAGCCACCAAATGAAACCTCATTTGAGTCTCATAATCACCCCTAAACAATTGCCTCCAACCTCTTTGCCATGTCGACAGGGATTGAGAACAAAGACATTATAGTAAGTGTTGAAATCTCAGCCTGAGCACACAAGTTACTGGACCATGTGACCAATGAGGTGAGGACCAGATGCATAGGTCATTAGTATGAGTGTGAAGGAACAGGTGTAACCTTTTTTTCCGGTTGATTTTCTGCAATCTCTGTCCTCCTTCTCTTAACCCAAAAGAAGAAATCTAAATCATTTGTTGCTTTAATTCTCTAATTCTTGATGGTCTTGAATATTAATTGAGCCTATTTGGCAGAAAATTTATTCCCTATTTGCTTTCCAGGTTGTTATTTGTCTTTACATACTATCGGCTTTGGGACGGCTTATCTCCGGTGTTACCGTTGCTTATGCTGGTATGTAGACCATTTTTTGTTGGTTTCTTATCCTATAACCTGTATTAATTACATGTTCTTTTTCCTGTTTTGACTGTTTATTTATTTAGTATTAATTTCTTATGAAAGTTTTTTTTTTTTTGGTAACCATACTGAATGAATTTTTCCACTATGTCTAATTTCACTTAAGTTTCTTTCCTGAAGTGCTTAAATATGCATTCATAGTCTTTCTTCTCCTTGTTCCCAAAAAATGAAATTGATAAAAAGGAGAAGGTAGGAGAAACAAAAATTATCTATTCCCCAAACTCGAAAACATTTGGTTTACATTCTCCAGAAGTTGCCATGCTGTTGGATGGTACATGTAGTTGTTGCTAATATCTTCTTCCATATAATTGACATGCCGCATCATTACCATGGAATTAGCATCCCATGTTGCATAGGCCAGATCATCCTCAGCAGGGACTATTTTTCGCCTGTTAAACAACTCATTTTCCCACACCTTCAGATGTACATACGAACTGATTGATACCATCTAAAGAAATTATCGCCATTCAAGCAAATAGTGGTGACTTGGGCCGAGTGAGACTTGTAGTTGGGCCGGAATATATTATCTTTTGACAAGATTGCAGCGGGGAGGATAGTGGGATGGTGGCTGAGTTAGACGTATCGTTAGACATGGTGTTTTTAGGGATTACAAATGCTGGGACAGAACGAAGAAAACAGGGAATTAGCAGAGAACTGAAGGGAAAATAAAAAGGAAAAAGCTAGTAATTGCTAGCTCTGTTACCATATAAATTGGGAGAATAAAAAGCAGAGAAAATATATTTTGGAGAGTGATTTCTCTGTTATTAGGTTTCTTTGAACAACATTTACACATGCCATTTTTTTTAAGATACAAGAACCTAAACTACGAAAGAGAATATGCTTCTTTCAAAGTATTCCTAATGTAAGTAGTTGGCTAATCGACATCTACAAGTAAATATGGAGGATATGGAAAGAAAATGCTATGATCTTCTACTTTCCAACATAATCAAGAAAATGAGACAATCTTCTACTTTCCACAAAAATTATTTCCATTCATGTTCTTTTTGTTCTGCGTCAGATGCCATACATGACTATTTTTAGTATAAATTACATCTTTTTTTTTTTTTTTTTTTTAAGTTCATATATTTATTAATTAGGGGATACATATACACTAATCGTAACATAATGGAAGTTACCTCAAAATGAAGACACACACGGGAGGACAATTTGACTTGAACCACGATCTCTTATAGAGGAATGGACATACCAACAATTTAGTTAAATAGTGGTTGGTAATTATATTTTTCTTGAGATTTATACCCTTAAGTTTGCAAGATGAATTAATATAAGAATGGAAAGGTGTGGACATGAAATTATGGTTCACAGGTTGCACCCCTTGGGTGCTCTTTGAATATGTTGTACTTTTTCTTTTTTTTTTCCCCTTAAAAAAAGAGAAACAGAAAACTTTTCAAAGTATTTTCTCACCTTATGTTGGCTCCTGATGCATAATAGTGTAAGACCTTTGGCTGATGAGATAGAATCCTTATGATTCATGCTGCGTGAGTCTTTGATTGTCTCCTTTTTCATGTGTCTAAGACAAATTTTCCTTCTCTTTGTCCTTTCTGAAACAGGATTATGCTTGTTTTGTCTATACATGGTTGCTGAGAACTCGCAGTCATTTAGTGCATGTATTCGAAGACGGAGAAATGGCTCCCCTGCAGAACAGGATAACATGTAAATTTGTAAACCTATTGTCAATTCTTTTGTCTTTTGATTGGTTTTCTGGATTAGGTTTTAGCTGCACATTCTCATTTCTGTTAGTAACCATCCTATGATTCATTTTAGGGTCAATTCGATTTGGGATTTCATAACTGTAACACTAGGTTGGGTTCTATTAGAGATTTGAAATGTTGAATCTTCCTTAGTAATGATCTTGTTTACATTCTTTGGCTCCTAACACTTCCATGATTAGATTTATGCTGTCACAAGTTGTAGTAATAGCTCAAATAGAATATTCTGCAGCTCAGCAATACATGAAGGTTGAGTTTGGTTTAAATTTTAATTTTATGGAATTGGAATGAAAATACAAATACCGATACAATAAAAACTTGAATAAAAATACTAGTGTATGTTGAAGTTAATTTTATGTGTAGTTTAAATTAATTATTTCTGTAATTTTTTTGACATATAGAAATATAAAATTTGCAAGTGAAATGAAGTTGATTAACTTATGTATCAAATGTGTAACTTATAATTAATTTCCAAATGTTTTCTAAATGTAAACATTTAGGAATTGAAATGAATAAGTTCTAATGAGATTTGGATGAACTTGAATGAATGAATTATATTTACATAGATTTGGATGTTCTAGATTAATTGAATTGAACAACTTATGAAGTTTATAGGTTTGGATTTTGGAATTAATGAATTTGAATATGATTTAAATGAATTTGGATACATGAATTATGTTTTAGATGAATTGAATGAATGGATAATATAGAATAAATAACTTCGAACAAATGAATTATAGTAGGAATATATAGATGGAGTTATAATTTTGGATTTGTATATCAATTTTGATTTTGGAAATTGGATCTTGAATGAGATTTTACAATCTATAATAAAAAAAATACAAAACCTTATATATTGCTCAATATTGTATAAATATTTTATTTTTTTAATTTTAAAAAGTTACAATACGATTAAAAAATGCAATATATATATATAAGTAAAATCAGAAATTTTTACATTTCCTCAATATTTTCAAATAATTTTATTTAAGTTATTGAAAACTTTAGATGGAAGACTTGTAAGTACTTTAGAATTTAAATTCTATTAATCTAACGGATAATAATTATCTATTTAAATTTTTAAAATTTAAAATAGAATTTAATTTTTAATGGATTATAAATATATATAAAGTATTTACTTATTTAAAATTTGAATTGATTATAATTATTAGATTATACACTATATAAATTTTTATATAAATATAATGGATAATTATTAGTTTCTCACACTTCATATATATCTTATGATAATTTTTTTATATTTTTATTAATATAACTCTTTTAAAATTTATTTTTTATAAAAAAAATTCTTAATAGAACAAGATTCAATTTAGTTTGGACAGAAGAAATAATGTGACTCGATTATTATCAAACCGATTGTAATTATTATTTTTTTTTGTAAATATTCCACTAAAACACTTTTTACTTCTAATAAACTATGAATTAGATCAGAATTATTCTCAACGAATTCATAATAAATTTTTTCAAAAAATAACGGAGGCTTGTAAAAATTTTCTTCAGCCAAAAGAGAGATCGGTCCTGAATGCAAAAGCAAACGGGAGCTCGAATGCCCACGAATAGAGACAAATAATCAAACCTTAATGATCAGACGGTACCGAGTAAAAAAGTCGTCCCTCAACTGATATATATATATATATATATGTATATATTGCAGAGTACGAAATAAACCTAGATGTTTCATTAAAGACTTATTTCCTTCCTTTTTTTTTGGTTCAAAAGTTATCTTAAGAGTTAAAAAAAAAAAAAAAAAAAAAAAAGTCAAGTAAACCGTCAAAACATAGTCCAACACCAGTCAACTCGCCCCACACAGTGGGACCCACAGATAATTGCCGTGATTACTGAAAAAAGAGCGCCAAAATTCATCACCTCGAAGCTGCCAAAAATCCTCAGAAAATATATTCTTTAAAAAATAAAAAACAATTAAAAAAAAAAACAAAAAGAACCCTAAAATTCTTCACCAGGGTTAAAATCGAGAGCAAATATCTTGCGCCAACTCTTTCTTTCTACTCATCCATGTCCCCAAAATCCCCTTCTCAGGCACGTCTCTTTCTCTTTACTCTAAATGCTATGTACTTCACTTTTATATACATGGTTATATTATGGGTTTATCTCCGTGTGAATCTTTCTAGTACCCAACGCGGATTTCGCATTCTCTTTTGTTTTTGGGACTCGGGCTTTCTCTTTTTCACACGGAAGAGACGAGGGTCCTTCTCTCTTGTCTCTTTTTCTTTTGAATTTTGTGTACTAACTAGATGGAAAGTGAGAAAAGTAATCAGTGATGCTGGATTTTGGATTGCAGAAGAAGAGATACAGGGGTATTGGGGCTGTGTTTGGGGACGTCAACGCTATCATGGCTATGATCATTCCTAAAGAACTTGACGCATTAGAGAAGGATTCCGTTTCTTCTGCTTCCTCTGCTTCTTCTTTTGATTTGCGGTTTCAGGCCACTGCATTCACGTTACCCATTAAGGTAATCATTTTTCTCGTTCTGTCATTTTTTTTTTTTTTCACTATGTCGGGCTGTTTGTTTTCCCGGGAAAGCGGAGGTTGAGAATTGAAAGGTATATTTAAATCTTGCTGTGGGTAACCGATTGTGAATGTACTGATAGTTTGAAAGACCAACACTTTAGAGCCTCTGATTTTCAGTCCGTTTGACTTTCTCATTTAGCAGCTTGCCTTTTAGTTGTAAGGAAGGTGGAGGACAAGAAGAATTAATGTAGTCCTTTTCGATCTTCTGTACAGGATAATGTATTTTGAGCACTGTTTTCAAGTCCTTGGTTGTTGTTGCTTGAGTTTAAGTACTTCATACGTTCTCTATCTCCCTAATTTTTGTGCTTTTTGGTTAGGAGTTCAAATTGGTGTAGTGTTTTTTTTTTTCGCGAGAAAATGTGATAGAAAAAGCAGGAAAATGAACTTTCATGTCAGCAAAAAAAGACCCACGTGCATAAGATTTCCTTCACTCACACTTTCTTTGCAACAGTTTTTGTAGGGGCTTGAAGTTTCAAAATAATTTGTTTTGTAAGCCGTTAAGGTAGCTCTAGGGGTTTGATGAGCTATTGAATTCTCATGCTCTCTCTAGAGGCCAAAAAATGAATGAAGTTTGCATTGTGTAATCTGTATCCCAATAATATTTTTGATGTGGTTCAGGATTTCTTGAGGACTAGAGAAGTTGGCGAATTTCTTAGTGGGGCTCTAGCAGGGGCCATGACTAAAGCTGTTCTTGCTCCACTTGAGACCATCAGGTTGGTTTGTCATGTTATGTATTTGTTTATTTAGTAATCCACTGGAGATGCAATTTCATGTCATCTATCTTGCATGAATAATTTCTTACATAAATAGGGGAGACTACATACAGGCAAGTTTAGGCCGTTCATTTGAACAGTTTTTATAACTTCACTGATTATTAACCTCAGTCTAACTTCATGTTAATGATTATATTTTGATAGGGTTCTAATAGCAAATTGTGCCAATATCTTTCAGGCAAACTTACCTAATATTATTGGCTGTTCCTCTCATTATTTTATTTATTTATTTATTTATTTTTAATATAAGAACATAAGCTGCTGCTTCATTGCGATAGAATCTGAAGATCATACGTACAAGAATTTTCTTACGTACTTGAATGAAACCTTTTGGCTAGCATCATATTCCAAGTTCCTGAATTTTTGTTTATAGTTACCTACATTTTCCAGGGCTCTTTTAAATCTTGTGCTCATGAACTTTTGTGGATTCAGCTTATCAAGTTGGCGATATTATTTCGAAGTTTCACATCTTTGTTTCCTCTAATTTCATTCTTCAAGTTCCTGGGTTTTTGAGGTTTTAATTTTAATGCACACTATGTTTCTGAAAGAACTTTTAGATCTTGGTGCTATGGTGTTCTTTTTTACACGTACCATTTGGTTTTCTTATGCATTACATGTCCTTTTTTTTGGATTTTTTCTACATTGAATGCATGGTTAATCGAGCAATTGAGTTTAAGTTCAGTTAGTTTTGGAAGCATAGTATTGGGGAAACTGTAGAAAATGTAGAAAATAACTGTTATTTTAGAAGGAAAACAGCTGTCATCTCCTTTGTCCTTTCTTGTGTACTGTAGAAAGGAGAATAACAAAATTGGTGGTGTGTCACCTCCATCAATTCTGAATATTCCCTTAACCCACAAAATCTGGCTCTCCTGCAAAAAAGCTGTTTTTCATTTAATGCATAAATATGCTCCTTTGGAGCTGGAAAAAGAGAGCAGAAAAATAGAAAAAAAACTTCTCTCAAAATAGCTTCATAATTTCTTCATGGTATCAGAGCATTTTCGGTTCTGATTCTGCATTCGACTACCCCTGTTCCAGCATAATACAAGTGTTATGGCTTTTGGAGGTACGTCGTCCTCATCTTCACTTGAGGTATCTTCAGGACCTCTCCTTTCTTTAGCAGTCACGCACGGCTTCGGAGAGCAAGCCTCTTCATAGATTACGGGACACAAGCTGACTGAAAACAACTATCTACAGTGGTCCTCTTCTGTGCTGCTTTTCATATGGAGCAAGGGTAAAGAGGAATATATCATCGGTGAAGCAACACCACCACTCGCCACTGATCCAAACGTGAAGACATGGAAAATGGCGAACAGCCTCGTCATGTCTTGGCTCGTCCCCTCAATGATGTCGGAAATAGGAGAAAATTTCCTCCTATACGAAACTGCTCACGACATATGGACTTCTGTCAAGGAGTTTTATTCCTCCAAAGACAATACCGCAGCTGTGTTTGAAGTGGAAACAACTCTCCACGACCTCCACCAGGGTGATTCCATCGTGACACAATATTACAATATTTTTACGCGAAGCTGGCAGCGGCTTGACGCGTTTGAAGAGGTGAAATGGGTCTCCCCTGAAGATGCCAGAACTTACCAAAACTTGGTTGAACGAAAGAGGATGTTTAAATTACGCGGGTCTAAATCCCTACCTTGACAATGTAAGATGACGTATTCTGGGTCAAAAGCCCCTACCCAACATTCGCGAAGCCTTCTCAGAAGTCAAAAGAGAGGAGAGTCGGAAGAAAATTATGATGGGTGAGGGCCGTGTTGTAGCATGGTCATCTGAGAATGCGTCGGCTTTAATGATGCATTTCGAGAGTCGCGGGAAAAATGGGAGGCCATTTTGTGATTATTGCAAAAAGTCTGGCCACGTACACGACCGTTGCTGGCAGCTTCATGGCAAGCCAACCGACCATCGTCCTCTGAAATCCGAAAGCTCCACAGAATCGCGAAGTAACGCAGTTGTAGTCGCAACAACAAATGTAGAAGGGTCTGCGTCTGCCTCAAGTTCTGGAAAAGACCAATTTACCCCTAGGCAACTTGATATTCGCCAAAAGACCATTCAAGAAATGTTGCCCCAAGGTTCAACTAATATAACAGTCACTCAAAAAGATAATAATCCTCAGGTACTCTGTTTTACAGCATGTTCTACATGTGAACAAGCATGGATAGTTGATTCCAGTGCAATCGACCGCATGATTGATAATGTTTTTATGTTTAAAGATTACCGTCCTTGCAATGAGTATTTCACCATTAAGGTTGCGGATGGAACTGTATCAAGAGTAGTTGATATTGGGCTTAGTTGTCGTGTCACCCTCAATTGTTCTGGAATCGGTTTTCTTTGTAAATTTAGCATATAATTTACTATCGATTCGGAGACCGACTATTGATCTCAACTGTGTTGCTAAATTTGGTTCAACTTTGTGTGAATTTCAGGACTCGGACTCACGGAAGATGATTGATAGTGCTAGAGTGCATACCGGTCTCTACCTCCTCTGTACTGAACCTTCTAGTAGACAAGCTCCAAATGTAGTATGTACTGGTTCTATTTCTGTTAGTAGTACTTGTGATCATGAAATTATGTTATGACATTCCCGCTTGAGACATCCAAACTTTCTGTATTTAAAGAAAATATTTCCGTCATTATTCACTAATAAAGATCCTTTGTTATATCGATGTAAAACCTGTCAACTTTCTAAACATGTTCGGAATACTTTTTCTAGTTTCAAGTATACGTCATCTAAACCATTTTCCTTAATTCATAGTGATATTTGGGACCTTCCCGATTCACTAACATATCCGGAAATAAGTGGTTTGTGTCATTCATTGATGATCACACAAAAATCATTTGGGTATTCCTTATGAAAGGGAAGTCAAAAGTAGGAGCCAGCCACAATTCAAAAATTTCACAAAATGATCAAAATCCAATTTGACACAATAATAAAAGTGTTAAGATCTGATAATGCTTGTGAGTACTTTACATCAACCGTTAATAGTTATTTTGCTGAAAATGGTATAATTCATCAGAGTTCATGCATCTATTTCCCTCAGCAGAATGGTGTTGTTGAGAGAAAAAATAGATACATTCTAGAAGTCACCAGGTCCATTATGTTTGCTATGAATGTATCAAAACAATTTTGGGGGGAAGCCGTACTCACAGCCACTTGATAAACAGAATGCCCTTCTGAGTCCTCAAGTACCAAACCCCATTTAATCTTCTCTCAGAATCTTTTGCACATTCTTGTATCCTATATTTCCTACGACTAAAGGTCTTTGGCTACTCTGCATGTGTTCATGTCCACTCACACTTTTGGGTTAAATTTGATCCTAGAGCCCTTAAGTGCATTTTTGTGGGTTATTCTCCTCATCAAAAAGGATACAAATACTTCTTTCTAGATACTCGTCAATTCTATCATACTATGGGTGTCACGTTTTTTGAAGATAAACTATTTTATCCCAAAAATGACATTCAGGGGGAGAAACATGCTCAGGAATGTCACATTTGGGAAGCTACCATTTCTTCACCACTTGTCCACACGCACCAGATATCACCCACACAAAATGAGCCCAAAGTAGAAAATACATTATCTACAACAAAGGAGTTACGTGTGTAATACCTGAAATTAATTTGTAAAATTCAAAATTTATGTATAAAATTTAATTTTTAATTTTATAAATTATTATTTAATGTAAAATTAGAAAAAAAAAATAGGTAAAGGATGAATTTGAAAATAATTTTAGGAGGAAGGGGTGAAAATTTGGATTTTGGAGGTGTTTTTGAAAGAAAAATTGAAAACTGGAGGTCAGAACGCAATTTAAGAAAAATGTGTCACGTAGGACGTCCAGTTAGCAGACCCAACAAACCAGAGCGCCCCGCGTGGCAAGGCACGTTGACGCGGTGCCATGCGGGAGGCCACGCTGGCAATTCGCGTGCCCCCCGATTGGACGGTCCAGATTTGTTTTCGCGCGCGTGGACGGTCCGAAACCATTCCCTCAGACGCGATCGGACGGTTGCGATTAAACGCGATGAACGACCCAGATCTACTTTCTATTTAAACGCGATCAGACGACCCAGATCAAATCGCGATAAATGATTCAGATTCACTTCTTATTTAAACGTGATCGGACGGTTCAGATCAAACGCGATAGACAGCTTAGATTAAAAAAAAACGGATATAAATACCCCTCTTCATACAAAATCCTAACCCTAGTCGCCAGACCTCCACCAGAGAAGAAGAGCTAGACGCCAGGAAGGGAGCTAATTGCCACCCGCCGCCGCGTTGGAACCACTTCCGACTGCCAAAAGAGGTAAAAAAATCGGAGCAAAAGGACCGGCGGATAAGGCGAAAACCACGGGTAAAGCCCGACGGCGCCGCTGCGGGAAAAAACAAAAACTGCCTCCGATGAGGCTCTTCCCGATTCCCATTGCGTGTAATTTTTCTATTATTGTAATCACCATTTCTTTTTCTACAGGTCGATCGAAACAAAACACCCAACCGCGAAGGTGAGCCGGCAGAGTCGCCGTCAGTACTTGAAGCGTGTTTTAATCCCTGAAAGAAAATTCAGGAAACCCGAGGACCGCCAGTAGGCACAGCCAAAAGTTTAGCGTTCGGACACTAATTCGGATAAAAATCTCTTATTTTATTTCCTGGTTATGGAATTGGAGTTTAATTATAAATAATATGGTATTTTGGGTAATTTAAAAATATCGATAATTAAAGGTTACTAATGGAGACAGAATCGGTTATTTATTACTATTTGCCATGTTTTACTGATTAATTGATTTTACAGTTTCGAATACATGATAATATATTGGAATTGGTATGATAATTCGATTGTGTTTACTTGATGTTTGTATTGCTTGTTTTACATGATTTATAGTTAATTGGGAAACTGGAAATTAAAGGTAAATGGGAAATTGTTTGATTAAGTGAATGGATGAATGGTAACCTTACTGGATATCTTGGGAGATGATGGACGGACCAGATACATAGGGAACCCTACCGTGAACGTTGCTTTATACCGGATGGGGTATAGAAGATTGATAATTTGGCGCTCATACTGGACGGGGTATGCGGACAACTCGTTTCACCCTTATATCGGACGGGGTATGAGAACGGCCCGTTAGTTGAAAATATTAAAAAATGGTTCACGTGTAGTGGAAACATTTTTATGAATCCCTATGGATACCAGTAGGTTGATAAATGAGAAAGTTGTTGTTTCGACTGATTGAATATGAAACTATGATATTGTTTATGTTATTGACTCTATAGGTTGGTTTTGGAAATCTCGCTACGGTAAGCATGCGGTAAATGATTTTATTTATGATAAATGAATTTTACTTAAATTAAGAGCTCTATTAATTGTTTTTATAATTTTTACCAACTTTCATTTCTGTGTCGGTGAGTAGCGTGATATTCTTATTGGGTTAGTATAGTTCACTTTTTCATTAACCATTTCAGATCAAGAGGATCAAAGATCCAGAGTTCGATCCACAAGAGGGTTGCGAGTAGGACATTCAGTTTGTTTACTTTTTATTTATTTATTTAATTATTAGTTGTTCTTTTAGGAGGGTCATTCCCGTAGTACTATTGGGTATTCCGAATTATTGTGTAAGGAATGTAAATTATAATTTATTATTTCGCTTCCGCATTCAATTCATAATTTATTTCATTTCAAGTTCATGGGTCGTTACTACGTGTCTACACTAGGAAGAACAAGGCCTAAAAAGGTAGTGTTCCAGCAAGGACTGAGCTCTACCATGACTCGACTTTGTCTCCTACCGTCCCGGACCCGACTGGTAAGACTATTACTACTAAATATAATCCTGATGGCAGTATAGACAGACACAAAGTCCGTTTGGTGGCAAAGGAGTTCACACAATCGTATGGAATAGACTATCAAGAGACTTTCGCTTGTAGTCAAGCACAACACGATACAGATCTTGTTTTCTTTTGCAGTAAATCTAGACTGGCCCTTGTTCCAATTAGATGTGAAGAATGCTTTCCTTAATGGAGACTTGGAGGAGGAAGTGTACATGGACATCCCTTCGGATTTTGAGACAAACGATAACTCTCATAAGGTGTACAGACGCAGAAAGGCACTTTATGGACTCAAGCAGTCTCCAAGGGTATGGTTTGGAAGATTCACAAAAGTTGTCAAACAAGTGGGATATAAGTAGTGTTAGTCAAATCATACTTTATTTGTCAAACATTGCGACTCGGGTAAGAATTCTATCTTAATAGTTTATGTTGACGATATTATAATTATAGAGGACAATGGTGAAGAAATTCAGAAATTAAAAGAGTTCCTGACCAAAGAATTTGAGATAAAAGATATAGGAATACTCAGATATTTTCTAAGCATGGAGATTGCACGATCAAAGAAGGGAATTTCCGTAGTTTAACGGAAAAATGTACTTGATCTCCTAAAGGAGACCAGAATGCTCGACTGCAAGCCTGCAGACACCCATGGATTCTACTGTGAAACTTGGCAAGAGTCAGGGTGACAAGTTGACTGATAAGGAAAGGTATCAGAGGTTAGTTGGGAAGCTCATATATTTGGCACATACGAGACCAGATATAAGCTTTGCAGTATCAGAGGTTAGTTGGGAAGCTCATATATTTGGCACATACGAGACCAGATATAAGCTTTGCAGTCAGCACAGTGAGCCAATTTATGAGTCAACCAATTGACACACATATGGGAGCTGTGTACAGGATTCTCAGGTATGTAAAGAAAACACTAGGATAGTGCCTATTTTTCCAAAAGAACACAGACATGGAGATAGAAGTTTATACAGATGCTAATTGGGTTGGTTCAGTCAATGATAGGAGGTCAACCTCATGGTACTGAATCTTCGTCTGGGGTAATCTTGTTACATGGCGAAGTAAGAAGCAATCAGTGGTATCACGGAGTAGTGCAGAATCTGAATTCAGAGCCCTTGCCCATGGTATATGTGAAGGTGTCTAGTTAAAGAGAGTATTGCAAGAGCTAAACGTGACTCCAGGAATGCCCATAAAAGTATGGTGTGAAAATCAGTCAACTATCCGAATGACTAAAAATCCAGTCCATCATGATAGGCCAAAATATGTGGAAATCGACCGGCATTTCATTAGAGAGAAGATTGAAGACAGTGTTATAGACATTATTTATGTTTCCACAGATCGACAAGTTGCTGATATACTAACCAAACCTCTTCCTAAACATGTATTTGAAAATATTGTATCAAATCTAAGTTTACACAACATTTATGTAAACTTAGATTGAGGGGGAGTGTAGAAAATAGCTGTTATTTTAGAAGGAAAATAGTTGTCATCTCTTTTGTTCTTTTTTGTGTACCGTAGAAAGGAGAATAACAGAATTGGTGGTGTGTCACCTACATCAATTCTGAATATTCTCTTAACCCGTAAAATCTGGCTCTCCTGCAGAAAAGTTGTTATTCATTTTGTGTATAAAATATGATCCTTTGGAGCTGGAAAAAGAGAGCAGAAAAATAGAGAAAAAACTTCTCTCAAAATAGCTTCATAATTTCTTCAGAAACTACATGGTAGTTTAAAATGAATGATTCTAATGGGCACTCAGTGTTGGAATTTAAAGTTATGGGTGGTAACCTTGGATGTTTTAGCTGTTGAGTAATATTCATCATTATATTGAGAGATGGCACACATGTTCAATTGACAATTATGGTTGTCTTCTTGATTGATGTAAAGATGGCATTCTGGTCACAGTTTGGCTTCAACTATATCATATGCCATAGAGTTATCTGATTTGTAGTTTGCAATATCAATGTGTTATTTGTCCGTTAGGCTAGTAGTTTTGGATGTCAGGAGGTTCTCCACTCCTGCTGAACTGGTCGAGGTGTTATTTAAATCTGCTTTAAACGTATATCTCATTAAGTTATTAAAATATATTAAATGCCAAATTTTTTAATAATAATTACGACCAATTATCTCAAAAGTCTAAACTAGTAGAAAAAAGATCTGTCTATTATTATATTCTAGTTCACCTTCTCACTCATGGCTACCAGGTTGAAAGTGTAAATCAAGCACAATTACAGATCTACTGTAGTTTGTGTAAAATTAAGTTTTTAATATAAATTGGGGAATTGTGATTTGAACATTTATTTTTGGTTCTATTCTCATGTTAAATAATTGATCGTGACCAATTATATGCTGAAACCGTATGCTGATAGGAATTTTACTAATCCATTATTTTTATTTCGATATATTTCACTAAAGTAGTGACTGGTAACAAGTTTGTGACGCAGCTGAGTACATTTTCATATTTATGATGTGAAAATTGCAGGACTCGAATGGTTGTCGGTGTTGGATCCAAAAATATTTCTGGTAGTTTCCTTGAGATCATTGAGCAGCAGGGTTGGCAAGGGCTTTGGGCTGGCAATACAATCAATATGATCCGAATAATCCCCACCCAGGCAATTGAGCTGGGAACATTTGAGTGGGTGAAGCGAGCAATGACATCAACACAGGAGAAATGGAGACAGAAAGAATGCCTGAAGGTCCAAACTGGTCAAATCGGTTTAAACTTCTCTCTCTCCTGGATTTCTCCAGTTGCTGTGGCTGGTGCAGCTGCTGGTATTGTCAGCACGCTTGCTTGTCATCCTCTTGAAGTTTTGAAGGTATTGCATCTTGGCCATTTCTTCTCTATGAAAAGAATAAAATAGAACAATTTCCTCTTGTTATGTTTTCAGGAAGTAAATAATCTTATTTATCTTTTGCTTTTTATTGTAGTTCATGATGATAATTTTGATTCTGCTTTTTCCATGATTAGTAGTGGTTAATGGCCTCCCTTTGTCTTGTGATTAACTGCTGGAAAAGTACGGGATGCTCAGATGTATGTTGTAGTGAACCTTTGATTATGAAGTTTATGAGGATGATGGTTTTCCTTCCAATCTTTCCCAGGATAGGCTGACTGTGAGTCCTGATATATATCCTAACTTAAGCATTGCGATTAACAAGATTTACAAGGATGGTGGTATTGGTGCCTTTTATGCTGGTATTTCACCTACGCTAATTGGCATGCTTCCGTACAGCACATGTTACTATTTCATGTATGAGACCATGAAATCTTCCTATTGTGAAGCAAAGAATAAGAAGACTCTAAACCGTCCAGAAATGCTCCTAGTTGGAGCTCTATCAGGTGAGGAACTAGGTTATAATTACAAGGGTTTATATGGAATGTGCTTCTGATTTCTTTGAATAGCAGTAAACAGGCTCCTTTTTCATGGTCAGAAAAACAATGGAAGAGCATCTTTATTTCTCAACAGGACCTTTCTTTGTTGATATTATAAAGTACCAGGAAGAATTTGTAGTTTTCTGGTTGGTAGTTAGTTGAAAACATGTCTTGGGATAGGCAGTTGAAAATGTTGATGAAAGTAAATAATTTTTCATCTTGTTTATGGACTCTTTCAATTATATTTTTATTCTCTGATTGATGGATCCAATAATGGTGGGTGGTTGTGTACAATTGCATAATATTCCCTGAAATACCCATGTATTTGATTATCAACTTGATGAATTAATTTCAAGACATGGGGCTTCCCTATTATAACAGGCTGTTAAAGAGGACTTCCCATTCTTCTGGTAAATATTCTTTTTTTTTTGCTGGGTACTTGGGTTTAAATCCCCCATGGATTCGCTGTTTGCTCACTTCATATAATTCAAAAAACATTGATTTCTCAAAACCTCTTGTTCATGTCTCTCATCAAAAGGTGCTACTTGATAATATCTATTTAGCGGACTTCCTGTTAACCAAGCAAACGTTCAGCTATCTATCTGTCTTACATTCATTCGTGATAGTACTCCTAATGGGTTGAAGACTATATCGTCAGGTCTTCCATTTTGCAAATAAGGGTATATTCTGTATCGGTAGAATTTTGGAAATGATATCATTATTCCTGTCTAGGTAGAATATATTTTCTGTTGCAAGAAATAATGGTGTTCGTTGGTCTGGCACGCTTCATAGGTTTTGAGAATTGGAAGACATGGTTTCCATGATGACAGAGAAAAACAGGCTGCTTGTATGATGCATGCTAACTGTTCATTTTGTATGGAATTTGAGAAACATAGGAAAATTTTAATCTGTTTGATGGATATCATGATAGTAGATTTGTATATCAGGTTTGTGATTGCATGAACTGATTGTCTTAAATAATGAACGATTTGGCAGGGTTAACTGCTAGCACCATCAGCTTTCCACTAGAAGTCGCAAGAAAACGGCTAATGGTGGGAGCTTTGCAGGGTAAGTGCCCGCCCCACATGATTGCAGCACTTGCAGAGGTTATCGAGAAGAGGGTTTGTTGGGAGTTTACAGAGGGTGGGGTGCTAGTTGTTTGAAAGTAATGCCATCATCTGGCATCACCGGGATGTTTTACGAAGCTTGGAAAGATATACTGTTCATGGAGAAACGTGGGCTATAACAGCAGCAGCTGTTATGGAATTTTTTACCAGAATGAGCTAATAGAGACCCAGATCAAAGGTCTTTTTGATAATTATTAGAAAGTGGAAGTCTGCAGGAACTAATAGCCTTTATCTCAGAATCAATTATTTATTGTTTGCAAGGAAGGGATATGTGTTGTTGAATAGCCCACAGCAAATTAATTTACACAGATTCAAACATGGTATAACAATCAGAATAATATATTTAAAACTAGTTTTCTCCATTTAGATTAATCAAAGTAGCACACTGATGTTTTCTCATAGTGCTTACAGCTTTCATATTTGTACTGTAATATCCAAGATAAGGTTTCCAT